TTTACATCTGTAAACATAAGGTCTCTACCCTGTCTTATCCATGGTCCTGTTTTATATGAATACAGATGATCTATAATAAAAAAAAAAATTCCCCCTTCCCCCCCCAAAAGGTGCCATGTTAAATGCAAAAATTACCAATTTTATAGTGAGCCCCCTATATCCATTTGAACTGTAGGGCAACATATTTCAGACAAATTCCGAATACTACCTCAAAAACAGATTTGCTCTGCACTCTAGCTAGATTCTCAGGAAATTCAATACGCTAAGAAAATTGTCTTCTCCAACCCTTTTATGTCCCAGTCCATATAACCCAGAAATGACTCCCAATAAAGCAATTGAGGCAGATTTTCAAAGATATTTAGGTGCTAAACAGCTGCCTAATGGGATTTTCAAAAGCTCTCAAGCGAGTTAAAACACCACTCTCACAGATACCATCGACGTTACCATTGCTTGGTTAAAGTAGCCAGATGACAAACCTCCGAACTGCGATATGCGATGCTGGTGTTCTGCATCCTGTAATATATTCCTAGAAGACAGTCCAGCAGCTCCACAGAAAAATGAGTCAAAAATTCTGCCATGTCCCCCAGAGGTAGCAAGCTGATCCAGGATCTGACCAGTGTTCTGTCTACGTCCATCAAGTGCTTCTTTCCTTTCATCAGCTGCAGGAGTGCCCCACTGAAGACAAAAAAAAAAAAAAAAAAAAAAAAAAAAAGAGGGAGGGCTGTGAACTATACAGAAACTGGGACAGTGCACAGAAAGCTGTAACATAAGAGACAAAGACTTAAAAGGACGTATTCTTCCTAGACACACACAGTCTCCCAAAACAAGTGCTTTTATATTTGGGCCAGATTCTGTGCAGGGACCTTGGGATGCTGCTCAAATCTATGGCACCTTATTGAATGCACATGGGCTGCTCCACAGCCCAGAACTGCCAGACTGCGACACTGGGTGCCATACGCCAGTTCCATATTGCTCCCACACCAAGGAAATGCCCGTGGGCAACCTTCGCACTCCTGAAGCACCAAAGCAACAGAAAGACCCAAAAGGGGAGGGGGGCCACAATGGACAGAATCTGGCTACCAGTGTCTTCACGTGAAACATATTTTACACAGCATTTAACTTATAGTGGGAAAAGTCTGCTCAGGTCCTTGATTGACCTCTATGGTCAATGTTCCCTCTAATTCTTTCCAACCATGGGCAGAATACATTTTGTTATGTGCACCAAAGCATGTGCAGATGTGCACCACCAGAAGAAACACATGCTGCTGGCTGAGATCCTGTGGTCACTGCTAATCAGCTGAGTGGGTCCTGAATCTCTCCCAGGTAGCCCAAGCACTCAGCTTACAGGCAACACCATCTATGGTACCCGATTTAACAGAGATAGAGCCGTGTTTCATCCCCTTGGTAGGATGGTCTGCAGCTTCTGCTCTTTACTGGAGATTTCATAGCAGCAGCACCATATTTACACTACTATGCACTTAAGACACTGTGCTTTTGCTAGCAGCAATAAAAACCCCAGAAAACACAATTCCAGCATGTATTGCAGTGACATTTAATATCTTACATGTCAAAATGCCAAAAGGACTCACACAAAATTGTATTTATTTTAAGCCTCTTTATTTCATTAGAGCGCACCAAAAAAGTATCTGAAATTGTTAAGAATGTACATTTATGATGCTTAAATTAAGCACGAAGATAAAGAAATCCTCTGAGAAATTAAGACTTCCTAATGAGTTCGTTTTCTGTCACATGAGAGTTAAAACAACCTTGACAGAAGAACTTATGAAAAAAAACACAGGATTTCTTCAACACACCCAGTATTACATAGGACAGTCCACAAGCTCATTCCATTCCGTTCAACGCATGCACACAATGCAGATACCTTGCGCGGAATACAGAAGGAGGCAGAGTAAGACGCATTCACAGACTTTCAGTCTAAAACACGATGAGACTGAAAGATATATTAATACACCCCAAACCACTGAAGGTGACATAGTAAATTGTAGCTATGTGAGTAAAGCCGCCAAGAGTTTTAAGCAATGGGGCTGTTATTATTTGTAAAGCACTTCAAAATGTAAGTAACTCTGGAAAACTCACTTCTTATAAAACGATTCCTGATTCTTCCTGAATTCAATGAACGGAAGACCTTCCAGGCCTGCCCAGATCTCTTCAGGCTTATCCACCTTCAAGCATTCATGGAGGCCAAAGGAGGCAGTGAAAAAGTGCAACACAGGGAGGGTACACACCCACCCGTCAACTTGCTCATCGATGCATCTCTGGCACACATGGGTCAAGTACTGTTTCATGCTAGAATGGGTAAGAGATCATCCACGTTAGGAACAGCTAATAAGTACAGGTTGGACCTCCCTGGTCCTGCACCCTCGGGACCTGACTGGTCCCGGATGAGAGATTTTGCCAGACCAGGGGAGGTAATTTCTGGGCCCCCTGCTGCTGGCCCAACCTCTTCCCCTGACACCCCTCTGGGCTTCCCAGCTCCCTCAGCAGCCCAGCTGAGTCACACACCAGGCAGCCTGCCCCGCCCCGACTTCCCCAGCCCAGCTGAGCCATATGCCAGGCTCCGCAGTTAGCCCACTCAGCCCAACTGGGTAGCATGTGCTAGGCTTCCCACCTCCCACCCAGCCTAGCTGGACCACAAACCAGCCTCCCCGGCTCTGTCCCTCTCCTCCCCCTCTCTCTCCCGCACCCCTG